TACATAAAAACAGAGAAGTCAATAGGTTTATACATATAAATACAGATGAATACATCAATAATACATATGAATACATTAGAAATTACCTTTTTTCCAGTGTATCTGAGCTTTTACTTGCTTCAACCTCCTTTCCCTTGACAGATGAAGCTTCAGAAATATATTTTTTCCTCTTTTCCGCAATGGAAAGTCTTGTTTCCTTCAATTATTTCTCAATTTGGGTTTCTTTGAAATTGTCATGGCGAGATTTTGTTCTCTTCTCCAATGCCATATTTTTGGATAAACCTGCATCCAATTCCCCTTGAGTGATTTGCAAGGAGAAAGAGGGCCCATCGAAAGTGAGAATTTTAGGGGTATACCTCTGGTAATCAACTTGCGGGGTATTGAATCAGACATTGTGAGAATACGCTTGGATACTGTTGATTAGAGAAAACTTGGTGAGTAGAGATGTTGAGAATAAACAAAAATAGCGAAAATCAAAAAATTTAAATACTTACCACACTAATTATAGAAACAAATGACAATAATCGAGAGGAAATTAGGGTTTATGACGAGATTGGGGAGGAAGGAAGCAGTGTGGGTGAGAGGTTTCTCTGGTTTTGAGCGTGTTTACAGGGAATGGGAAAGAGAATAGAGTGTATCAAAATAGAGAGAGAATGAACCTGTATTGAGAAGATTTTATGAAATATGGTAATTATAAGAGAGAGAAATCTGAAAAGGGAGAGAGAAAAATAAAACATAGCGTGTTTTGTGGCTTAAGTGTAGGAGATAACCAAAATTAGAAATTTTGCTATAAAACATTAAAGGTATCTATAAAATATAATTTATTTAAATGGTATTTATTTAAAATAAATGAGGTGTTAACCTTTGCAATAGGAGGTAAATATTCCTTTAATATTTGCAACTATTATTTATGGCCAAACAAGACCTACTAATTATTTTATCTGTCAAAAGGCACCCAATCAAATGCAAACTAAAATGGGTGGACCAATTAGTAAGAGCACTTTCGTGCACGGACAATATAAATAATTATATATTATCGGCAGGGGTGACTCAATACTATTGGGGGCCTAAAGCAAACTTTAACGAGAGGCATTAAAAAAAGTTTCTCAAAAAAATCTTATATATATATATATAACATTTTGAGATGCAAAGTTACGAATAATTATTATATAATCTATTTCACCTAATATTTCTTTTTTAATTGATAATATAGGTAGTCCATTCAATCTCTCCTGAGACATTGTTAATCATAAATAAGATTTTTATCCATTTTAATTTTGTAAAACTTTTTTACGCTGAGGCAATAGGCATTTGGAAAAAAATCAAGTCTTTTTTATCTGATTGAGTACTAATTTCCTCTTTTTCTTCTTGGATGGTGTTATCGTCTAACTCAACTTGCTTAGTGATTTGTTCATCTCGAAAATATTCTCCTATAATTTCTGATTGAGTTTTTTTTTATTATTTATTAAAAATTTATCAATAGCTCCTTTTTGGGATTGTATAAAAAATTCAACTTTTCTCTTCTTTTTTATAAAGTTTTGAATAACCGGACTCATACTTTCTATTTGATATATATGAATTATAATAAAAATTAAAACGACAATATATACCTACGTAACAAAAATATCAAGAAAAGTAATTTAAGTTGGAATAGAAGAACCTGATTCAATAACATGAAATATTTGTTGACTCAATAATCTTCATGTTCGTGCAATGCTTGATATCCCAAAATCACAGAATAATAAACTATAGCTTTTCTTGAACAATATTGTGAGATGACTTCCTTGTAAAAAGTAAGAGAAGGAAGTCATCTTATAAACTGAGAAGGAAGTGGAAAGGTCTAATCGAGAGAAACTAGCTAAAAGAGAATAATTGTTAAGAGCCGTCAATATGGGCTTGGCCCGTTGAGCCAACCCAGCCTAATCCGTGATTTAGCGGGGTTGGACTAGAGTTTTTGGAGCCCATTTAAAAATGAGGCTTTTAAGCCCGGGCCGAGTAAGTCCGTGGCCCGTGAGGCGTGACTGAGGCTGGGCTGGGCCGGCCCGTAGGCCTAATAAAAATAATTATTTAAAATATATAAAATATAAAAAGTATACTGCCTCTAGCGATGAAAAGTCAGAATTGGATCTCACTTAGAGGAACCAAAACGTGATCTTGAGAAGTTCCAAGAGATGGATGTTGTCATGTAGTGGAAGGATCATTCAAGAAAATATCCCGATCTTTCAGTGATGGTGCGTGATGTACTTAGTATTCCTATTACCACCGTCACATCGGAATCAACATTTAGCATTGGGGTGTGTGTTCCGGCAAACAAAAGTTGCATCTATCATGAAAATGTTCAAACACTTGTTACTACTCAAAATTGGTTGCACGGCTTTTCCCAAACTCAAACTGGTAATATTTTTTTTTATGTGAATTTGAATATTATTAGTTTTTAAAATTTAATTACTCTTAATATTTAACTAATTAATATTGCATATGAATTGTAGATGTAGATAAAAGTGAAGATGCCAAGACAACCTTGTCACAAGCGGATTCAAATGTGCTTGATGAAGATGAGGTATTAGATATCCCATAATCGTCATGGACGTTCTCTTAAATAGTTTATTTTGAATTTTGACTTTTAGTGAATGAACTATAGTCTTATTTTTTACTTTTTAGTGTTTGTTGTGATATATTAGAACAATATAAAAAGTTATTAAGTTTTGCGAAATTTTTCCAATAAGATATATTTTAACTTTTAAATATTTTTTTTAGGTTAGAGCTTAAAGAAAAATATAAAGTTATATATTAAAAAATGATGGGTCGGCCCGTGAGTGCCCCCGCCCACGTAGGGCTGGGGTGGGTTAATCATTACAAGGCCTATCAAAATCGTGGGATAGCCCAATCCGGCCCGTCAATTGCTAAAGCCTACGTGGGCTAGGGTGAGCTAACCCAGCCCGGCCCATATTGATAGCTCTAATAATTGTGATGATTTCTTCCCAAACTTGCATTCTCAAAGTCACCTTAATTGATTTTTTGGGCCCACTTTTTTTTGTCAAAAGTTATTAGTACTCCCTCCGTCTCATGCTATGTTTCGTATTTCTCTTTTACACGCTCCTTAAGAAATATTAATTAGGAAAGGAATTAGGCTATTCTACCCTTATTTATCTCTTAATAATATATAATCTCTTTTCATTGAATATTTATTCTATTTATGTGTTATCTCTATCTTCAAGAACAATTATTACTAAGGGTAAAAAAGAAAAAAAATAATTAATTTTGTCTTAAACTTCTAAAATGACAAATAATTTGATACAAATATTTTTAGTAACCATGACTATTAATATGAGATGAAGGGAGTAGTATATCTTTCCGTTTACAATGCATGTATGAAGTACCTTTTTTTTTTTTTTTTAAGGAAACCTCATTTTTTTTTGTAAAAATAAATATAAGCTTATGATCGGGAGAAATTCAAAATAGCCAGATTTACAACTGGTCGTTCAAAAATAGCCCAGTTTCAAAAGTAATCGAAATTTAGCCACTTTTCATGTAAAGATAAAGTTGACCGAAAACACTGTTCAAAACCCGAAAAATACGCCAGTATATTATGCTGGAGTTCCAGCATAAATATACTTGAACTCCATCATATTATACTGGAGTTCCATGATAAGTATGTTGGAACTCCAGCATAATATGATGGAGTTCCAGCATAAGTACACTAGAACTCCAACATAATATACTGGAGTTCCCACAAGTATACCGGTCCAGCATAATATACTGGAGTTTGGAGCACCGATGCTCCAGTCTCCAGTATATTATACTGGAGCCAGTAAAGTATATCGGTCCAACATAATATGCTGGAGTTCATACACAGGTGCACCGAACTCCAGTATATTATGCTGGAACGGTCTCTGTTACAGCAAAATAGTGGCTATTTTTTATTGATTTGGTAAATGCTGGCTATTTTTGAATGACCAGTCCGAAAATTAGTTATACCGTGCTATTTTTACCTTATGATCCTATTGGTAAAAGTTGGGGCCGCCCAAATTAGGGGCCTAAAGCCTAGGCTTTATTGAATTTACCCATCGGGTCATCTAAAAGGTAACTAAAGACAGTGGCAAATATAGCATATAAATAATTGTTCAATCGAACTCAATAATTTAAATACATAATGTAAATATAGATGTAATAATTATTACAATTTTAAAAATATATTACCTTTTGAATCCATAATTTCAAAAGTATAATGGTTCATTACCAAGAATCAAAAGTTGAACACATCAAATTGAAAATTTGAATCTACCTTGATAATTGTCCATAATGAATTGGAATCAGCAAGAACTTAAAAAATAAGGTACAAAACTTGTTACAAATGTTATAACCGATCATAATGTAAAACCGATCATAATGTAAAACATTTCTTTAAGCCACCATGTACACTATGGTGTTACATTATCAGTACATAATCTTTAACCAGTTATAACAAAGTAATCCCTCCGTTTCATATTAAATGAGGTACTTTTCATTTTAGTTTGTTCCAAAACAAATGACACATTTCTAAATTTGGAAATAATTCAATTTTAAACTCTTTCATTTTATCTATTTACCCTTAATGAGAAATTTTTATAGCCACACAAATGTCATGACCCCACAAACTTTTTACCCCTTAAGCTTTTAAGTCCACAAATTTCAAAAGTTTTTCTTCTTTTTTCTTAAACTTCGTGTCGAGTCAAACAACCTCATATAATATGAAACGGAGGGAGTATTATTTAATTTCTTACTACTCCTGCTACAATAAAGTATAAAGAAGCACATAGAATTAACTTCTAAGTAACCAAAAAGGATGCTACAAAAACTACAATATCAGAAAAGAAAACTAGGCCTCTGATCTCCCAAAGACGCAGGGAACGGATCACTGTCTCTTTTAAACCATCTCCCTCCACTTCACACAGAAGCCGCAAATCCCTCCTCACTCCACCACCTTCCGTTAATTCTTATAAATATGACCTATTTTTTTCTTTATCTCTCTCATACTATACACATTGTATTCTCTGTTTGAGCAAAAATACACTTAGAATTATGGCTTCTTCTACACCTGCCTTGAAAGATGAACTAGATATCGTGATACCAACAATTAGAAACTTGGATTTCTTGGAAATGTGGAGGCCTTTCTTTGAACCATATCATCTCATCATTGTTCAAGATGGTGACCCGTCAAAGACCATTAAGGTGCCCGAGGGCTTTGATTATGAACTTTACAATCGCAATGATATTAACAAAATTTTGGGTCCTAGGGCTTCTTGTATTTCCTTTAAGGATTCTGCTTGCCGCTGCTTCGGTTACATGGTTTCCAAGAAAAAGTATATTTACACCATTGATGATGATTGCTTTGTAAGCTCACTTTCCACCTTCCATTAATCTATCATCTCATTCTAGTATCTTTTTGTTTCTCGCTCGTGTTAGTTCTTTGAAATAAAGTTTTAGATTTTTTATGTTCACAAGAGTATGTGAGTGATTACATGAACAGAGTTTGAACTCTCTGTATTTTACGTGTTTGTAAACAAGGCAAAGCTACTCCCTCATTTTATACGGTGGTGTCTGACGAAAGAAATTTTGATACTACCTATCAAAAGCACTCTTGGGATGTTAGTAATTTTAAACATGACATATTATTTCTCTGACTATAAAAGTGAAATGAGAAATTTAAAATTAAAGGATTTTAGAACATAAAGAAAAAGTCTTTTTGTTCTGGTAACTTTTCTTTCATTTTCATTTTATATTTGCGTTTTACGTTTCATGGGGATATATGCAAAGACTTTAAGGTGATTTCTTATAGATTCAATTGAATCTATATATACAGATAAAAAAAATTAAAATATATACACACAAGAAGGTTACGCTCGTATCTTTCTAAACCAACTCATTCTAGATCCTAGATAATCACTATGCTTAATTATGATCATTAATTAATGTTCACTTCTATACTCATGATTGATGTTCCCCTCAATCATCATCATCTTCAGAATTCTTTTCTAATATCATCTTCGGTATTTTAACTCTATTTGTGTTTGGGGAAATCTTGAAATAATCTGCGTAGGTAGCAAAGGACCCAAGTGGGGCAGACATCAACGCGCTGGAGCAGCACATAAAGAATTTGCTGTGCCCATCAACTCCCCATTTCTTCAACACTTTGTATGATCCATTTAGGGATGGCGCAGATTTTGTGAGGGGATACCCTTTCAGCCTGAGGGAGGGCGTGCCAACGGCAGTCTCCCACGGCTTGTGGCTCAACATTCCCGATTATGATGCGCCCACACAGCTCGTCAAGCCTCTTGAGAGGAATACTAGGTCGGTCTCCTTTTCACCTTTTCTTTTGATATTATGCTTTCCTTCTTGTATTTAAGTTAACTATACTACCAATATAAAGATATTTTGTACTATTAGCATAGCTTTAATATGTGATAGACGATTAGCTACAGTTTTTACAAGGTTACATGTTACAATAGTTATTATAAAAGTTTACTTGTAATTATCTAGGAATAATATTTGCATTTTTTGGTCCCGTAGTTATTAGTAAACTAGTGAATATGCCGCGCTTCGCGCGATTATGGAATGAAATCAGGATATGATCAAATAATTAATATCATCACTTTTTCTAATTAAGCAAAATCAAGCTTTGCTAATAAATTGTGTTACTACATGTAATGGAGAAGAACAATTTTTCCTCTTGACATCGATTGGTCAATAATTAAATATGTAGTCTAAAAATATAAAACTATTCATGATAAGAATAAAAGGCCTAATAATAAAGTTGTAGCACTCTTAAACAACAAAAGAGATAAAAAATCTATCAAAAAATAGAAGGTGTACCATACATATAGTTCATGAGAAAGGAGTTGAAGGACAACTTTTTGTTCAGCAACCTCAAAGCTCCATCCCTCTCCCAGAAATGAAGCTTCGACAGAAATTTTGTGAGAGAATATTTGTCCAATGTTCTAATAAATGCATAGAGAATAATGATAGAAAATGAGCATACCCTGCTCTGACAGCTTAAACTTTGTTGCTTGACTCGGTCTTGAAAATCAAGAAGAACTTGTAAATTGGAGCCGACTTCACCGTACCATTCTATAGACCTTACAGGATGTGAATACACTAAAATTAGATCATGCATGAAGGTTAGATCCTAATATAAAAAAAGACATTTAAATAAAAGTTCTATGCAACTTTGGCCTAGCTTAGAGCAACAACACCAAGAAAAACAAAGCCTAATTCTCGTCCTATATTTATATAGGGTAAAGTGTACTCTACTCTGAAAATAATATTATATATATGAAATCAAAGTTTTATTTAGTCTTACTAAAATAGGGGGGAAAGGAAATAAAAGCTATAATATAATTGACCAAATAACACCTTTTTATGCATAGCTTCCTCAAAAACTATCCGTTTATGCCATTCAACATCATTGCTCATCCACCTTTTTATAAATTATAAGACCCTATTAAAATTAAAAACTGTAAGAACTACATCTTTAAAGACTTACCATGCCCTCCTTAATAGATTTATCTTTAGATGATCATTGTCATCTATTAACAACTCTATCTCTCTTTTTCTCTATATATATATGACAAATTAATATCCTAGCTCAATTGTGTATGTTAACAGCATACGCAGACAAAGATCCCTTTCATGTCTTAGGTTTCTCGGGGTCTGGTTTATTCATCATAGTTGTTAGGAGAGTAAAAGAGTAAGTCTTAATTGAAGATTGAAGAATATTATGTAGGAATCATGAAATTACAGGAACAAAGGTGTATTTAGCAGCAATTTAGTAATTTATAATTTTCAGCCCTAGAAGAATAGATGAGCGTTGGCCTAAGCAAATACATCAAATTTACAAAAATAAACAAATGCAGATTTTAGTTTGGAACATTTAATCATGCTTTTAATTCAGAATTTATTATTTGCACGGGACAAAGCATGTACAAGCCTAACTTTTTAATAGAAATTTGAATAACACAAATTCACTGGAAACTGAATTACATTATTCTCTGGAAAATGCAGCTACTTAGTCAAGTTGCAAGAAGTCCCTGAAAGCTGAGTACAGGAACTAAACAAAATAGTACTTCAGTAGATTAGAACTTCCATTTCCAAGAGGAGAGTAGTTGCCAAGTTAATACCTTCTCGCAGTGGCGAGCGAAGCTAGGAATTTCTCCAAGGGTGTTCAAATTTGAAAGAAGTGGAAAAAATTCCCAATAAAGGGTGTTCAATATATGTTATATACCTCTAAAACGTAATATTTTACCTATATACACAGTGTAATTTTTCGAAGAAGACCCTTATGACCATGTGGCTTCGTCCCTGCCTTCTCGTGGAAAAAGAAACATTACAACCCTTGGAGACTTAGATAACTGGAAGAGTAGAATAATGTTCAACCATCCTCTTCATATCATAATAGTTTGTTTGCATCCACTCCTCTACCAACTCATATGTCTGAGAGAACATGTTATTCCAATTGAGTTGAGATCATCATGTCTATAGCAGAGCGAATGATAAACGGAGAGTGTAAAGATGAAGTCGAAAGTGAAATATTTGAATGAATTACATGTAAAAAGATGAATTTTCAGAAAGAGATATATTGTTGTTGATCGTGTTGCTTCACATCAGAAACAAGATAAGACATGATTTTTTCCGGTTTCTTCACTAAAGCAGAAACCTCAAGCCAGTTTCATGGTTATCTATATATCCAAATCAAGCTGCACATATAATGAGTTCCCGTTGCTTTGGATCTCTTCATTTTGTACTTTCCCCTGCATCCATAATTCCAAATTACCTGTTTCTTCCTTTGGTAGAAAAGTCCACTCAACAACACTGCTCATCCATCTTTTTAAAAACTGCAAGAACTAAATCTTTATAAACTTACAGTACGCTCTTAATGAATTTATTTTTAGATGACTATTTTCATCAGAATTTTCCAAACCTTATTGTAATAAGATCACTTTTCTTTTCCTTCACTTTCTCCATATAGTTAATCCCAATTCCCAATAGACCAAAAGAGTTAATTCCAGCAGACAAACAAAAAGCACAAAATAGGGGAAAATACCTTGAAGGAACGGCAAGACAAAATAGTCTATGTGGATAATTCAAAAGAGAAACAAAACCAAAAGGAAAGGTTAAAGAAAACACAAAAGAAAATTGACTAATATTAACTAATTGGTAAGAGAGTAGAAACAATTAATCTAAGATACCTGCTATTGCTTTAGAAACCTAACCAAATTCTTAAGTTTATGGTAACGTTTAGTTTATGTTAGTGTCTCAGTGAAACAAACTCCGCCAATAGGTACAATAACTAAATAGAAGTAGATCAATTAGAAGAAAAAGGGGAAAGCAAGACATTACCAACTAAAGATAGAAGTGGTTGATCTTTTGCTCCAACTACTGGAAAAATACTTGCCTTCCACTTTGTAGTCGAATCTGCAAGAAAGTGATGCGAAATGATCAAAAGCTTGAAAATTTGATGACTGAAATATACTGAAAAGACATTCCAGAATCGTTTATCCTATTTAAAACCAAAGAGAGCAAAAAAAGTGAAGAATATCATATTTAATGCTGAAATTTTCGATCAGCAATTTCAAAACGATCGTTTTCCTAAAAGGGGAAAAAAGTTACCAGCCTTTTTCTTCTTAGGTGACCATCTTGAATGTCAATTAATTGAAGGAATTTTTGACTATCTATATCATGAAACCTTATTACCCTCAATGTTTAAGGTTTGTGTTTATTATATTTAAGCATACCAAATTA